GAGTTGAAGCCTTGCAGTGTGACCGTGAGGTCATCAGCTGCATGCCCTGCCATGTTCCTGTGAGTCAGTACCTTCGGACTTTGGCCATTTCTGTGTGGTCTTGTGCTAGTGAGTTATGTTTTGTCAAAGTGCTTTTCCCTAGGGCTTGTTTCACCTCTGGAACAAACTGGTTCACAGTTCACAGAACTGTGCTGCTCAGAAAAGGATGCGAAGAGGAGTTAGTTCCCAGTGCCCTGAGTCTGTGTCACTTCTGCATGTGCTACTTGAGTCATTTCAGACTTCCTGACATTACCAGCTTATGTCTGGCCACGTGGTGGTTTGAGGAGAGACACCCTTCCCCAGCTTCCTCTCTCCCTTTCCAATTTTGGATTCCACTTGCGGGAGGGAAGGCATCTCCTTGCACAGCATATCCTAGCTCCTCAGTTTCAGGCTGGCTTTGTCTTTCCTACTTAATTCCTGTCCTTGAGGACTGCCCTGATCTCCACCAGTAAAGGCTGGACTTGATGTTGCAAGAACTGCTGCCTCCCATGGGAGCAGGTGATGCATGAGTTACTCCTGCCTGCACAAGGCCACGCTCTCAAGGCTGTTTGCTTTATTTAGGTTACTGATGCTCTTCAAAACAAGCCTCTTTTATAATTTACATATCTATATTAAAATCTGAACACCCTGGGGTTAAAAAATAAGAACCTAAGAATTGGCAAGTGAGCTGTATTTGTTACCATTTCTGTGTGTCTCATGGTCCTCCGGGCACCCGGATGCAGCCCTAGACGGCTTGTGGTGATCTAAGCATGAAGTAGCTCTGCTGCAGTGCTCTGGGTTTGTTCTGCACTGGCGTGGACAAAATATTTCTGTGGCCTGACACTTCAGGTGTCATCTAGAAACCTTTGTTAGGGTCCTGTCAGCAGCATTTGATGGGACTGCCTTTCCCATTTCCGTGCTTTTCAGTTAAGACCTGGGCTTTCTAAACCTGCCAAAAATAAACAGGAGTGCTGGGGACTAATGAGTGGTTAAATGTTAACAGGGTTAAAATGAGTGAAAGATGTGAATGTATAGTGTCTTTTCCAGTACTCCCTTTCACTGAAGGTGATTTAAGTTGCAGTGTGCAGGTTGAAAATGGAGTGAACTGCTAATTGCTCTAACGAAAATACAGCATTATCTGCACTGGATTTGTTACTCAAAGGATCAACATCCTCATGTTCCTCCATTCCTGTGCAAGTGTTCAGTGAATTTTAGGCAAGCTTTATGTCCAGTTGATGCAGTCATGCTTTCTTGTAGCTTACCAGAGCTCTTGAGATAAGTATCTATTGTGAAAACGGAATGGCTCCCAAATATGTCTTTAAAAAATTTGAGTACAAAGCAAATTTATAATCAGAATCTGCCATTAATACAGAGCTGTAACAGTTTGGGGTTGTGTTTGTCCAGTGGAAAAGAGTTTGTGCTTTTTAATATTCAGCCATTTGCAGATGGTATGTCAGACAGCTGAAGGGGTGAGGACTAATGATGGTAAATTCCTCTCACGTGTGGTCTCTGGAAGGTGTACATCTTGGGTTTAGGTGCTGGTGGTGTAGTATTGGCAGCATCCCTGTGCAGTGGAGGTGTGGGTTACACCACCCAAATGACTCTCTTAATAGTGCAAGTTCCTCAGCTTCAGAGGTTTCTCGTCTGTATCAATGTATGGGGCCAATATGTCACTTTCTCTTCAGGTTCATAAACTTTGGGTGGTGCTTGCTTTATTTTTGGTCTTGCATTACTTGCTTCAGTTCCTTGTCTGGCAGTGCATTTTTAAGCTCTCCTATTGCCTCACTGATTTACAGTGCCAGGTAAACCTGTTGATACTCCTGTAGCACTGGTGTGGAAAGTAAGTTCTTCGAGCAGCATGGTTAGTTAAATATTTGTGTATGGATTATCTTTTGTCACTCTTAAGTAACACTGCTGTTAGAAAAGTGAACTGTTTCAGCTCCTAGGACTGGGATTAAGGACTTGAAGGCCTTTGCTTTAAAGGAATCCAGACTCAAAACTGATTATGTTTGAATAGGGAAAGGGAAAAGCAGGAGTTAAATGGCTTAGTCAGACTTTTTTCCCACTTTAAGGGGAAACTTTTTTATACAGAGAATATTTACAATGTGGAGAAATTGGGGTGTGCATCACAGACAAACATGAAGTATTTTTTCATCTTATAAGTTATTACATGAAGTTTTCTTTAGTGATCTAAGGTAAAAATGAAACAGAAGGACAGGTGGGTTGAGTAGCTTTCCTAGCATCTACCTTTGTTGCAGTTTCAGAAGCTGAGTTTCATAACACTTGATGAGCAAATGATTTGATTGCTGTTGCAATTGAGTCGAAACTGTGGCACCACTCTTGTCTCGGTTCAGGTTTGCCTCAGGTCCTTTTTGTTGTCAGGACTTATCTTTGCTAGAATCTAGTTCAGTGTTTTTCTCACTGTGATCAGTAGTTCAGTCTCCAGTGGGTGAAGCGGTGGCAGCTCTGGGCCTTTCAGCTCCTGCGTACTCCAGGCTGTTCAGAAAGCCAGTGGTTGCTCATCCTTCTTCCATGTCTGAGGCCGTGCCCATGGAGGCCGTTGGACTTGGCTGTGAGAGTCCAGGGAGAAAAGTAATGACTCCATGTGCTGCAGAGCCTCAGGAGCAGTGAAACCGTTGCCTTCATCTGCTGTGCTCTCCTTGGAGTACTGAACACTCCCTGTGTTGGCAGAAGCCCCTCATGTGTGTGGCTCTGTTGAGAACCTGCCATTTTGCTGCATTTGTTTGTTTTACCTGGATGAAGTGTGGCTGGAATAAGCTGTCCTAGCAAGACTGTGGTTCGGCTGATGTTTACTGGGGCACTCAAGGAATGTTTTGTAGATACTACACACAATAGACAGACATGTAGAGTTTGTAGTGGAAAAGCAGGCATAAACTGCATCTAGTGTAGAGAAATATGTAAGTGCTCAAGAGCAAGTGTGAGAAAATTGGCACGGTGAGATGTTGTGTACTGATTTTTATGATAACTGGATTGTGTGGTGACTAGTAGTGGGTTACAAAAGAGCCAGACCCTGTTGCAGTGCTTTTATACTGTTAAGCTGTACTGTCTTGCACATCTCTGTCAGTGGAGGTGGCCAGGTTTCTTTCTAGTTGGTAGGTCTAGTGGATTCTGGACAATTTTCTTTATGATGGGAATATGTTATCCAAGTGATAAGTTACATTTTTCATCTCTGCATTTCCACTCGCCTCTCACTCCTCCACAAAAAAAAATAAATTAAAAAAATTCCAACTACTGTTTGTATCTAAGATAAGTAGAGTGAAAAATGCAGAAGAGTTCTTAAGTCAGACTCTGAATACCTGGTTTTGCAGATGTTTAGCATTCATATTTACCTTTAAAATCCAATTGTTAATGTTTTATTTTCATTTGTAGGCCCCTTTATTTTGAGCTAGGTCATGCCTATGTGTAATGATTAGGACAGACATGGCTAAGGCAAAATCTGTTGTAATAGTCTGTAAGTCAGAATAAGTCAGAGGGGCAGGACAAATTCCATTTCTGAATCTGAGAAAAATTCAAACTGGTGTAAAATACATGGTGAGGCTGGGGCAATTTGCATGAAGCATCCCATGTTGTGTGTGCAGCTGATGCCTTCCCCTTGTGTTTCCGGATTCGTCTAACTTGGAATTGATATTTTTAGTTATGTAGTGAAGATAAACAGATATTACTATGCAGGCTTTGCACTCTTGTGTAGTCTCAGATATATCGTTATTGAACACTTTGAGATGCAGGTTTTTAGTGGGAAAAGGGATCTTTAAGATTATTAACTGGTGTGGCTGCATTGGTATTGCTTTATTAATGCAAAGATAAACACTGATTATAGAAGTTGATGGTGTGAGAGTATAGAATGGTATGGAGGGAGTTGTTGCTGGTAATATAGAGGAACTACTTCATGGAGTAAACTTTGTCATTTATCTAGTGAGAGAATCAAAATTTCTGTGGCAGTTTGTGCATTGTGGTTCCTTTAAAGGAAGATTTTGTGTGAGCACGTGAAGTGTTTTCAGAGGCTGCTCATGTTTATTGCACAAGAACAAGGGTTGGCTTTGTACAGTGCTGATGGAGTCGGATGCCTGCACACACTTGTTGATTACTTGGACTTCAGAGTTTTGTTTTTCAGAAGCCTTTTGAGGCATGGTAGTTAACTGTGCTTGCCCTACAGCGTGGGCAGTTCGAGATTTAACCTCAGGCTAGAGAGGAATATATAGTGGGAGCATGGGATGGGTGAGAATTACCTGTTTATTGCTTTACCTTTAGGGAAGGTGAGTGAGAAGAGCTTGTTTGCACACAGAACCGTTGCAACTATTGCTTATTTTTCCTTTTGGTGCAAGTGAAAATGTCCAAGGGAATGTGGGATTGTGATTGGAGGAGGGGTGGAATTTTAGATAGGCATGTGGCCTGAGGAATGTGCCTTAGTGTTTTGTTATTATGTTACACTCCAGATAACTCTGAATTAATTTCCCTTATTCTTTCAGCTGTTTTTCAAGATCATAATGCAGCAGAAAAATGAAAAGCCATAGAAGACATTTGCTTTGGAAAAGAAGTCAGTTGCTGGCCCAATCTAGAAGATGGACCGCTGTTTTTGGGAAGCTTGGGAAATACTGCTTCCAAAAGCAATTTTTCCTAACTTAGAAGAAAATACAGAGTGCTCAGCTATTTGTGAGTTTAAATCCCAACAAACTGTACAGAAGACTGCAGTGCATAAGGAAGACACTTGAGCTCCAAAGCAGGTGGGCTCCTCATGTGCTTCTAAATGCAGAATCCTGTCCAAAACCTACTTTTGAATCATACAGCTTTCCTTACAAAACTACTGAGAGTAAAAAGATCCCATCCCTATTGCAGAACCGAAAGCCCATCTGGAGAAGCAGTAAGGAAACTCAACAATGAACCCTTTGAGAGTGAAGATCCCTTGAATGAAGAATTTGAAACTGTTGCTGTTCTTAATAGCATCTCTGGCAATATCCATTATGTCTCATGTGGTACGCTGGAAGGTTCTGCCTTACCTGTAAAGGAAGGTGGTTTTGTATATAGTGGGGAGGAGAGCAATAATGGTGAGGGCAACACAGTCCTGGTAGTTTTAAACAACTATAAAAGGAAATGCTGTTGCAAAGGGAGTGGAATGGAACTTGTGGCCTCTTGACAGCTCTGAAGAGGTCCAAATTTAACCATCATAGTGTAAAAAAGAGATTTTTATTTATGATGCATAAGAAACTTTCTATAGTTAGGTTTCGGTATAGAATCATAAAATCCCCGAAACTTCGAGCAAGAGGCAAAACTTGCAAACTGAGAAAAATCAAGCCAAGGTGGGTGAAGAAAGCTACAAGGGACCATCAAGAGACGCTTCAGTGGGATTTTGAAAGTGGATTGTGTAATTGGTTTTCCTACTGGAAATCTAAAAGTAGCCGTCTTTGGAACCGGTACAGCTTATCAGATATGAACAATAATACACCCAAATCTTTAGGTGAGGAGAATGAAATCTGTGCACCCGAGATCTGCCGTACACAGGACGCGTTCCCGTCTGCTGAGCCGTGTTCTGAGGGTCCGGGATCCGGAGGGCAGGATGGCAGTGTGGATGCTGTCCCACCAGAACTGCACGTTAGAGCTTCTCCAGAGGCAGAGGCCTTGCACCAGGTGGAGACCAATGGGGCTCTGTCAGAGAATCATTGTTCTGACATTTTTGCCCCCGCGACAGAAAAACAAATTGCTGTTTCAGATCGAGATGGTGCAGAATCCAAGGAGGTTATGGGTGTAGATGGAACGACGCTGTCGCAATCCTCCGTGCAGGATTCTGTTGTTGATGATAATTTTGCAAATGGACCTTTATCCATGGAGCTGACACAAAATGAGGACAGCTCTAGCCAAATGGAAGTAGAGGGCTCCTTGGACATTTTTAGTTCAAAATTACTAGATCACCCTTACTGTAAAAGTCCTCTCGAGGAGCCTTCAGCGGAAAGCACAGGACTGAAATCAGGAACTCGGAAGGGAGGCAAAAGGAACAGTCAGAAAGCTTCCCGGGTGGCTGATGAGCAGTTGGCAACGTGGCTTTGTGGTACACCTTTTACATATCTTAGGGCATCCAGGAGTTCCTGAGAACTGCTGGATGTATTGTGGAGTTTACATGTTGCATTAATTCCTTTATAAAAATGGTTTCTTATCGTGAATTGTAAAGGCTGCTTAGCATAACACTTGCTGAAGTGAGGCTGCAAAGAGGAGAGCTGCATGGAGGAAGGACAAACCAATGGTTATCTGACAAGCTGTTCTAAGGAATAGTTGAGGGGTGCCTCTGCTTATTTTGTTTTAGAGAATACAATGTAATTTAATTGGAATCTTTGTGGAAAATTGTTGATGGAAATTTTAAATGTCTGATGTGGTTTCAGAAGATGATTCAGTTTTTTAAATGTTTTAAATTATTACTCTTAATTAGGTTTTTGAAAATCCTAGGTATTCTAATACTTCCACCCTTATCCTCTCTTCTCTTGATCTCTCTTAGACTGAAACTAAATCGCTTTAACTCAGGTTTTGATAGCCAAATACTGTTCATTGTCCCTTAGCTTTCTCTCTGATTGTTCATAAAGTAGGCTTAATGAATCTTATTAGACAATACTTTTTAAAAGGGCAAAACTAGACTTAGCAAAGGTTCAGCAAAAAGGCTTTGGGATTTTTTTACTCAATGCTGAGCATGCAGTATATGATAGTCTCTCCAAAGAGGAACATGGTAAAAATAGTAATGGTGTCTCATTTATGTATAGCAGCATACTACACACATCGTAAGGAGCAGTAAGCTAACACGTTGTGCCATCTGATACCATTAATGTAAGTTCAGTGATGTTCTGACAGCTGAGGTCTTCCTTTGGAGAAATTGCCTTTATAGAGCCCCATACACCTGAAGCTGTTTTTAACTAGTGTTAAAGGGATTGTTGAAGTTTGACATGCTCTGATTATTCTGCCCACCTTTTTGTCCTTCACTTTTGCAATTGTTTCTCTAAAGCAAAATATGAAAAAGGAGACAGTGAACCTCAAAAAAGGATTTAGCTTTCCACATCCATATCTGCATGGGAGATGTGTGGGAGGTGTTTCTCTGTGACTGGCTTTATGTGATCCAGCAAGGACCAGACACTGTGAGAAACTGAGAAACTGTGGTACCCCAGTGAACAGACCACTTCTGCAATGGAGTTTTGAAGTTTGTCCATCAGAAAAATGGGTGTAGTCTTTCTGTAACAGTCAAGAACCAAGGTTGTATGGGGATGGCAAAGGTTAAGTTTTTGTAGTCTGGTAGGCAGTCACGTTCTTGTTCATGACAGGCCTGAATAGTTTAAAAAAATAAAAAGGCAAACAGCAGATGCACTAAACTTTCTCACACTTGACAATTTTAAGAGAATTCTTACCTAACCTCTGTATGAAAGTAGGTGAGACCAATTTCTGTTTCCTTCAGAGCTGAGGTTTCCTCTCAGAGGATTGAAGCCAAGTCCACGCTACATACGTATTCGTACTGTACATACACATATACTGTTAGTATAGCACTTCTGAGTTTTCCTAGCTGACAAACTGTAAAAAAAAAAGAATTTTAGTTGTAGTATAACTATGTATAGGAGTTCTTGTGTGTTTAGGAGTGTTAATATTAACTGCACCCTAAAAGATAGTGCTAACCTGGCAAAAGTTCCGGGGGTAGAAGCTTGAAGGAGATGTATTAGGGCTGCTCTCAAGTTTCAAATTTCTCTGCAGCAGCTGAACTTGGATATTAATGGGCTGCACTGCTTAGTGCATTCTGATGTGCTATTAGGTATCAAACAGAGCCCTGTGGTAAATCCCGTTCATTATGGGTATCTGAGTTTGCACCAGGGCTGAACTTTATGTTTCTTCCTTGAGTTACACCAGCCCAAGTGAGGTCAGGGTCTAGCTAGAAGTCTCCTGGAACTCTGCTGCTGTTAATTGTAATGACAAGAACAGTTCTTCCTCAGTGTATGAATGAAAAGCTTTTTAAATTTTTATATACTGAAAGAGAATAAGGTGCACTCATAAGCACCATGCGTTGTCTATCTAGACTGCTACCCAGAGTGAGAAATGTCCTCCCTGTCACCATGTACTGAGATGTAAGGGATAAAAGTTGTTAGGCAAATGTGAGGCAGAGTTGCAGGAAAGGTTATCTTCCCATGAAGAATGTTTCCTTGTGGTCTGATCTTGCTCCTCAATCCTCCCTGCCATCCTTCTGTCACACTTGTTATATCTTCACTGCTTTTCTCGACTCGTGTTTTGGTTTTTTCCCTTGGTCTCTCTCCTTTCTTTTTTTATTCTTAGTGGTGTTTTTCTGCCACTTTTTTTCTGTTGAATGTTTCTCTCATCTTGCTTCTTCCTATCTTGACCTTGGAAGTTTCCAGGAAATATTGTTAAAGCCTTGGTAAGCAGAGAACTGAACATACATTGCACTGTGTAGTGATGTTTTCTGCCATCACATCCCGGCCTGAGAAGAGTCCTGGGCGTCGTATTAGTGCAGTTTCCCTGGACTCTGATCTCAGATCGAGCTTTCTTTACACAGAATATGTGTTTTCTGCTGCATTTGAAAATTCATTTTCAAAAAACTGGACACCTTGGTCTTTTTTCTTTTGTTCACTAGCAAGTGTTGAAATCCTGTTCTCCCTCTGTTCTCTTTCGTTCTCAAAGTCGTTTTGGATGCTTGTGTGGAATTTATATCTCTAGTCTTCCAGTCTTATGTTTGAGGAAGAAAAAAAAAATCTTATTTTCTAAGTTTTTTAATTCCTCCAGCATTCATCTCTTCATTACTTAGAAGTTAGTATCTTTCGTTTCTGCTGTTGTGGTCGCCCAGTGCTTTCCTGGGCAATGGCAGGCTGACATGGCTGTCCATGTCACCTTAAATACCATCCCTGTGATACAAGGGTAAAGGAATTAAACTTGCTGGGAGTCTGTCTGGCATCTTTTCCGTTTGCCATGGTGGCAGCAGCAGAACTGAGCAGACTGGAAACACTCTGCCAGCTAAAGCTACCTGTGTTTGAGGAGAGTAATTCTGCCTGCCATAAGGACAGGATACTGTGGTTTCAGTGAAACCCATTGCAGGAACTGATGGCTTTTCATGTTGCAGTAAAATGATTTAAATTTGATGTAGATATGTGTATGTGTAGGTTTGTGTATATATGGCAAGAACGGGGTCTGATCTTTTCCTGTAAAGCTGAGTGATCAGATTCACACGTCTCTGTTTTTGTGCTTCTTCCCCTACCCCTACTTTTATATAACGCTGCCAATTTGAGCTTAGTTTTCTTAAATATATGCTTGCCATGTGTGGTGCTGTGTGTTGGTTGGGTGCACTGATTGCTGCTCGTAAGAACTGGCTGCTTTGTTGGAGTGGTGGACTCAGAAGGTTTTTATATGTTTGCACTTTCATTTTTTCTGGTATATTTAAAGGATTCCTAGATGAAGTTATGAAGAAATATGGCAGTTTAGTACCACTCTGTGAAAAAGATGTCATGGGAAGATTAAAAGAAGTCTTTAATGAAGATTTCTCCCATAGGTGTGTAGCACATTCTACAGTTGGTAAAGGACAAATTGCTTGCATTGCTACTGCATGCTCCATGTCTAACAACTAGCAGAACAGAACTCTGTTTAACATGACTTTGACTTAATTTTTCTCTACATTTTCAATCCTGTTTTAGAAAACCTTTTATCACCAGGGAAATCATGAAGTATCGGGAAAAACATCCAAAACCCTCCACTTGCAATTTCCGGGTCTTCTATAATAAGCACATGCTAGATATGGATGATTTGGCTACACTGGAAGGCCAGAACTGGCTGAATGACCAGGTCAGAAATGCTTGGTGTTCATGTGCTTCTCTAGTCCTTTTTAGCCCATTTGTATTAGAATATCAGTTGTGCATCTTCTGTTAACATCACAGGTGGACTATCCTTACTTTATGTTTGAGAAATAGGAGTGGTGGGTAGCTTTTACAGTGACAAGTGCAGTTAGTCTGGAAGCTGTGAGGTGTCACAGCTAGACTGGTTCCTTTTGAAAAAGTGATGTTGCACTATTTTCATAAAACAGTGGCTACCCATACAGGTTTTAGAAACTCCCCCCATCCCCAAGCTCGAGCAGATTTTAAGAACAATGAAGTGAAATAGCAGACTGTGGCCCACAGCCAAAAAACTGAGAAGGCTGCAGAGCCCAGGGCATGCACCAATAGATTTAAATTGAATTAAACTACATTTAAGATTGAGAGAGACTTGAAGCAGCCAGTTATGATCTCTCTGCAGGCTGGCCACTATTAGTTCCAGAGTGCTTGTCCTTCAGACCATGTTACTGTAAAGGCTTCTCTCCATATTGCTGTTTTAATGTGAAGGGTCCTATGTTTTGTGGGAACTTGTGAATTTGGGTCTTACAATATTATGCTGTATGTATTCAACTATTTACTGACTCTTACAGATAATTAACATGTATGGTGAACTCGTAATGGATGCAGTCCCTGAAAAGGTGAGGGGTTTTGCTATCATGCAAATGTACCTTATTGAGACATTGAGGGGGAAGGGTGAAACTGAATTTCAGATACAGAATCGAGATTCAGCTCAATGATGTTTCGAGTGGTGTTCCTTTTCAGTGGTGTTGCTCTTGTTTCAGGAACTTGTATTAGCTCTGCAGGTGGTCTCTGTGGTAGCTTAATGTTGCTGATATACCTGTAGAAGACACTTGGCCAGTGTTCACCCATCCCACTCTTCTCTCTCCCCTGGAGGTTTCTGTCTCCAGCTTATTTACTTCTAAAGTGCTGTGTCCATGCCCTTGCTTACCAGTCTGGTGTTTCAGCTGAAATTTCTGATGAAGATGAATTTCTGCTGAGATGACAAACCATGAGTGTTAGCATCTGAACCATGCACATGAGCTGCTTGCACTCACCCTCCCGCCCACCTCGTAGCTGTGGGGGCTGTAACAGCTCAAGCTGTGTCAGCTGCCTGCCTGGTGAATGTGAATTGATGTGGAGCTGCTTGGTTCCTTGGCAGTATTGACTCTGCAGGACTCTGTTTTGTGCATCCTCAACAGAATGCTTACTGCTTTGCAACTGCAGTGCCTGTTGGTGGCACTTGAGAAAAAGAAAGCAAAGAAAAATTATCAAGAAAACAAGTTCCTCCCCCCCCATTCTGTGACTAAATTTGCAGCAGTGACAATTATAAAACCCCATCTGTTTATTAGTAGGGCTGTACAATTTTCAGGTGAGACCACAAAGGAAGAACCAAACAAAACCATTCTTAGATTAGCTCTGCAGAATGTAACTCTTAAAATCTTCAAGCCCAAAAGAAAGAGCATTGTTGCTTTGATTGGGAGGTGATGGTGGTTCTTCATTAGTATTCTCTGTACTTCCCGAGTGTGTCCTGGGGTTGGGGTAGTGAAGATTGTATCTGTTTGCTTGTGTCTGCTTTTTCTTCATAGTGCATAATTGAAATCCTCATGGGAGGTTTTGTGCTGGTACCTCAGAATGTGGTTTTGAAGTCTGTTGGCATAGCTAATGGGTGTTAGACTGTTCTCAGATGCTGAATTTTCTAACTTTTTTTTTCAAGTAATAACTCGAGCCTTCTACCACCTCTACACTAGCAGAATTATTAAAAGCAGATGTTGCAGATTTCTATTTGTATTAATCTGTTCCTGTAATTGCAAGGAGCTAAGCACAGAGAGTAATAGTGTTAACCTGGAGCTAAATTTTTTTTTTAACATAATCCTACATTTTTTTGTCATAAATGTAGATTTTTACTATGGATCTGTCATTCCTTAAAAATGCTTTTCAATAGTAGAATATTGTTTTTGTCAGGAGCTGGCCATAGTAGTTGAATACAGAAGACCATGTTGTTGGACTAAATCTCGTAACTGTTTTGATGAATTCTTCTTTTTTTGTGTCTCAGCTTCCAGCAACTAAAGCCAGAAGTTACTCCCTTCTTCACCACCCCCGCTTTTCCAGTCCAATGTTCTCTTCCTTGATCCCTGTAAAGAACAACAAAAACTATAATTCCTTATCATGGTGTTTTTCTCCCAAGTCTGTCCCCAACAAAAAAATTAAACATGATATGCCTGGAGATACAAAAATGTAAATATAAATGCTGCAGTGGCTCACATCATATATTATAGGGAAATAAGGCTTATTTTATTAGCTTGCTGAAGAGCAGCAATAGTTTAGGCTTGGCAAAGCCTCTGTTTGTCCCTACTGGGGTTGTGTTTCTAAACCTGCATTAAATATTGCCTCATTACAAGTTGTTTTGTATAAATTATCCTGGGGGAAGGGGAATGACTGTGCATGAAGATTTCTGTGCTCATTCCTCCTCTCTCTCTTTTTTAGGTTCATTTCTTTAACAGCTTTTTTCATAGACAGCTCGTAACCAAAGGATATAATGGGGTAAAACGATGGACTAAAAAGGTATCCTTGTTAGTTCTCGGGTTCTGTTGGGCTGGGCTGAATCACTAACTTGAAACTGGGTTACAGCGTGTTATCTGCAAAGGATGGATTGGCAAAGGAGCTGAACAAATTGGGGAGAGCTTGATAAAAATAGTGTGGCACTGTTCAAGTTAGTATGGGGATGTTGTGAAAATGTACTTCTAATGGCTAAATCTTCAGTGGTAGGTTATCTCTTTGTGTATGTTCATGCAAGTTGTTAATTTAACTGCAAGAAACGTCTCCTACTGCTCCTGGCAGTTCCAGGTACACTAATCTGTGGGAGACCAGACTTAATTCTGCTTCTTCCTTTTATCTCAAACTGGCATTCTGTGACAAAATCAAGTTGTTACTCCTGAGTAACACATACAGGTACTAGAAAGCAGAAATTAGAGACCCATGGTTAATAAGCCAAACTGTTGTTCTCATGGCAAGAATAGAATTCACCTTGCTTTCCAGAACCCGCACCAGATCATGGGCTCTGATATTTTCAGAGGCAGCTAATACAAAGAGCAATACTCTCCTTTTTTTTCTATGAACATTTGTCCTTTCTAATATGGGCAATGGGGCAAGACTAATCAAGGGCCATGTTTGAATATATGATCTTTCTACAGAAGCACTTAAATAGCACACATCTGTGAAATGCTAGAGATGAACTCATTATCTAAATATAAAATCTATTCATATAATTTATTAAAAATCTCTTTAAAGTGAGATGGAATATTGGTGCTTAATATTCCCAGATATTATTTTTTTAAAAGTTCTTTTTCTGCAGCAACTCAAGTTTTGCAAAAACCCCAAAAATGAAGGTAGATTCTGGAAGCAGAGCCTGTATTGCTGCTGCTTCTGAGGGGGTACCAGATGAGAGCAGGACAGCTCTTTAGACATTTACACTTAAAATTCTTGAAGAATCTCTAAAGCAAGATTGAGGACTAAGCATTTCTATGGGAGGGATTCTGTAGACTCCTTCATCCTGCAGTATGCAATTAAGGGGAAGTTGTGTCTGCTCTTTAAACACACCAGAGTATTGCACCAGGTTTTATATATGTGCTCTCCTGGGATACAGGATATCCTGTTCTGTGTCTTGCTGCAGTGGTTTGAGCTGCTGTCCCTTCTGGTCAAGGATCACACTGACACTCCTGATCCATTCTCATGTCATCTGACTCTGTGCTGTCTTAGTGAAGTGAATTTGGGTTGCCACCAATCTTCCTGTACATCAGGTCTTAACTAAAGACCCTCCCAGCTTTTGGCTGCCTCTTTCCACTCTTCTGCTACAGGTTTGCACACCTGCAGTAATCCAACAGCTAAAGCCACATGAGGACCCTTGAGTTTAGCATGGCTCTGCTGTTGCTGGACATCACAGAAGGTGTAGTTCATTTATCTTTTTCCAGTTTTCTTTTGTGGTCTCAGCTTGCTGCTGGCTGACATCCGTCTGCTTCTCTCCAAGAATGATGGATTGCCCTGCAGTGAGTGTGCTGTAATCTGGTCAGGAAGCAGTTTCTGCAGGTGGGAGCAGGGTTGATGCTTGTCACAATCAAAGGACTGCTGTGAGCAAGGCTCAGCTGATAACTGCTATGAATGCCCAGGCCTTTTTGTCTCTTCAACTTCCCATTGTTACTCAAAAAATACACTTTCCTCTCCTACAAAAGACCTGTCTTTGCCAGTAGTGTTGCAATTATGTACTGGTCAAATTGCACAGTGCTTAAAAAAAAATAGACATCTTCCCGCAGGATGAGTTCATTTAGTTCAGCTTTCTATTTTTGCTTATTTTCTGGACTGCACCACCAAAACCCCAGCAATTAGACACCCGTTTCTAGAGAAGCTGGAAGAAGGAAGATCATGAAAGGCCCTGGCTTGGCTGGCTTCCAAAAGCATAAGGGATCATCTGCCACACAGACACTGGGGGTGTTGCATGTGATCTACTCATTCTGTACTTCAAGACCTTCTCCCTTGTTTGCTTGCCTGTGACCACAGTACATCTGCTACAAAGTTTAGATCAAGAAGGGATGAATCCGCTCTACCATCTCCCCTTCCTTTTCTCTGCTTACCAAAGTGTCATGCACTCCTCTGCCTTCCTCTGGCAAGTCACACAGCCTGTGTTACAGCAGAGGGAGTCAAACTGCACAGCTTGCTGGTTCTCTGGGGTGTTTGTAATGACAGCTGCTTCATAGAATTATGGAATGGTTTAGATTGGAAGAGACCTTAAAGATCATCTCATTGCAACCGCCCTTGCTGTGGGAAAGAAACCTTCCACTAGACCAAGTTGCTCAAAACCCTGTCCAACCTTGACTTGAACTTCAAGGGTTGGGAAATCCACAGCTTCTCTGGGCAACCTGTGCCATGGTCCCACCACCCTCACAGTAAATTTCTTCCTTATATCTAATCTAAACCCTTGTCCTGTCACTTCATGCTCCTGTCAAAAGTCCCTTTCCAGCTTTCTTGTAGCTCCTTTAGGTAATGGAATGTACTAAAAGGTCTTCATTGAGCCTTCTCTTCTCCAGACTGAACAGCCCCAACTCTTTCAGTCTGTCTCCACAGCAGAGGTGCTCCAGCCCTCTGAACATCTTTTTGGCCTTCTTTGGACCCGCTCCAACAGATCCACATCCTTCTTATGTTGGAGGCCTCAGAGCTGGATGCAGTACTGCAGGTGGGGTGTCAGGAGAATGCAGCAGAGGGGCAGAATCACCTCCCTTAACCTGCTGGCCACAGTGTTTGTGATGCAGCCCAGGATGCCATTGGCCTTCTGGGCTGTGAGTGCACATTACTGAGTTGTGTTGAGCTTCTCGCCAACCAATGCCCCAAAGTCTGTCACCTGTCCACAAGGCAGCTCTGATAAAAATCTGCTCGCACTGCAGGAGTGTCATTACTGAAGATATGTAGCTAACCTAAATTGGGGCTCGATTGTATTACCGTCATTACCTAAGAAATCCCACTTCAACTCAAATGTTGTAGTGCAACGTGAGCAGGATTTGCCACGGATACACTGATGACTAACTGTGGTACTGTACAAGGCTTCTCAGCTGCTCTCTGGGCTGTAACTGTATTTTTTTTGCCTACTAATAAATTGTGTATGAGATAAATGTGAATAATGTGGTGAAAGAGCAGAGGGGATAAAAGAAGATTTCAGTTAAGGGGTGGCAGAGAGGAGACGAATACAATTAATCTTTTGCTTTGCTGTGTTCTGTCTGTGGAATTGTATCTAATATATGTTGTTGTTCTTCTTGCCAGGTGGACTTATTCAAAAAGACTCTCTTGTTAATTCCTATTCACCTGGAAGTCCACTGGTCCCTCATTACTGTGAACATCCCCAGTCGAATTATTTCATTTTATGATTCCCAAGGCATTCATTTTAAGTTTTGTGTAGAGGTAAGAGTGACAGCTGTGTCTGTGAAGTTTGAACTGTTTTCTTAAACAAACACTCCCCCCTTTCTTCTGTTCAGCCATAAACTTTAAATGCAGTATGTCTGTCATTGTCCTGCCGTGTATGAAACGAGAATCAGTGTGTCCTGCTGAGCAGTCTGAAGCACAGATCTCGAGGGTCACACCAGAGCTGGGAGTTGAGGTCAGATTGCCTATTGCCTAATTAGGCTGACCATGTAGTCAGCACAGCTTTGGTGACTCTGTCTTGTTACTCCTGTGAAAAGCAGGAGCTCAGAGCCCGGTTCCGTAGGGAAGCAGACGAGCCCCAAGGAGAGTGAGGGTCATTCCTTCATCTGTCAAGGTACTTGTGTTTAGGAAATGATGAATTGTGGTCCTTTTGAGGGTAGGTTACCTGGGTGAGAGAACAGGACTGAGATGCTGTAGTGTTACCCAGTGGGGTTTACGTGTAACCATGCTACTAACAGTGTATTGCCTTTTTCCTTGGCCTGCATTGGTACACACGGGGTGTTTGCTTCTGGTTATAACCCAGCAACCTTTAAAGGCTGTGACCTAAACACTGGAGTTAAATTATCAGTCTTCCTGGTAAAGAGCAGCCAGGAAATTTTTGCTGGGCCTAGCAAATTGTAATGACTTTCTTACAAAAGCTAATTTTGTCAACTTAATTGCTTGCTTGATGCAGCAGCCTTCTACTTTTAACTGTGTGTAGTTGTTGGCTTACAGAAGAGTAGTAATTATTGTACCCAGGAGAGTTCCCAGCTAGGACTTCTGAATGAAGATAGTATGCCTGCTGGCATTTGCTGAGGATGAAGCTAATGTTTGTCCTGGGAGCAAGAGATCTCATGCTCTCCAGTTTCTGAATGTGCAGCATAAACCAGGGGTCCCTCTCAGCAGCCCTGTGGTCTCTCCTGCAGTCTTGCAATGTGACCTCTCCCATCCCACTCCAGGCAAGGTGTTTGTATCTGAATGTCTCACAAACATGAGACACTTTTATTGCTGCCCTTTCTAGGGGAAGGAGGGGAGCAATATCCCAAACTCCACTGTGATCCACACACTTAAGCTGAATATTTGTGTGCTACCGTGTGTTTAAATTGTGCTATAAACCCCCAGCCTGTTTACAGAGAAGTAGAAGGATTTGCTTAACCCAAGACCGTAGTCTCATTTATCTTGCTTCCTTCCCTTCGCTTGTGTCAGCTTATTTTTTCCTGTATGTCACTAAAACTGTCCCTGGAGCTTTGTTGATTAGCTACAGAACTCAGGCGTGTTGTGTTGAGGTTCGGGCAGGAAAATGTGATCGTATTGAACGCAAGGGCCTTGGTGTCAGCCAGTAAGCCAGGAAAAAACACATGCCAGGCTGCACTGTCTTTCTCTGCATGTCTGGGAACACTCTGACCTTGTGTCTGAATGCCACAGCTAGTCTGGTATGAAGTATAGCAGTGGGGCTGAGGGGTGTTAGAGCTCCCACTAATAGACCAAATTGAGCCTTGATGGTAGAAGGCACAAGCACCCACCAGAGTTCATGTCTTTACCTCTAGATCTGAGCTCAGCTCCTAATAATGCTCACATGAAATTTGTCCTCCTTGTCAGAAGGATAGCAGACAAGATGGCAATGTCTCTCTCCTGTTCTTTAACTGGTGAATAATATTGTTGCTTTTTTCCTTTCCTCTTTAAAGAACATTCGAAAGTATTTGCTGACTGAAGCAAAAGAGAAGAATCGCCCCGAGTTCCTTCAGGGTTGGCAGACTGCTGTGACAAAGGTAATAGCAGCACTTTGAGCCCTGGAATCTGACTTTGTGGGAGATTTCATGAGGCTGCTTCTAAACCCATATATTTGTACAAGTAGTAAATGGGTTTATGCTGCACACGTGGAGGGTGCTGTGAGCGATGCAGGTAGTTACACATGGGAATTTGAGCTCTCTTGCTCATTCAGCTCCTACCAGGTCTTTACCACTTTCTGCAAGTGACTTGGTGATCTGAGCCTTTCTCTGGACAATTATATATCGTGCAGCAAAACCTGCAGCTGGTGCCCATATTGACACGAGGTCAAGGACTGAATGAGCTGGATACTCAGCTTCCTCCCTTCTCCTGAAAGGGCTGTTCTGAATGCCAAAAGGATGGGGTTTGGTGAGGGAGGGCACAGGCTGATGCTACTACTGCCAATATTTTATGTTTGCTATGGATAGAGGGCTTTGGTCTCCAGGGCTGTTTGTGGCACATTGCGTTTGATCGCAAGTAAACGAAGTCTGGCAACAATAAAAGGGAATAACTTGTGTGTAGTGTAAATGAGGGAATATGTAATTTGTGTAGCCATCCCATAATGGCTCCAAAGATATAAAACAGGTCATTGCACACTAGACATACTCCCAACAGCTCCCTCCTCACACAGGTTTATTTTTAGATGCTGATACAATGATGAAATGATTCCTCTCTGCACTCATGCACACCCTGTGCAGTCAGTTCGTTCTCCTGCATTCTGTGAGGGAGAAGATCTGAGAGTTGAGGAAAAACAATTACTTCTCCTCTTCAAGTGCTGGAGACATAACAGCACTAATGTGTGGAACTTTTTAGCTCTGCATATCAAAATTGAGCATGTTTGAGGAAATAATGAAGGTTGGAAGTTATCATTTGAGACTGTCTTGTTCAGTCCTGTTGTCTGGCAATGTACCATTCATCATGTTCTCTGAGACCCTTTGCTGTGACTGGGGGAAGAAGGCCACTGCTGGTAGCATGGGTGCTGAGAGTAATCTTCCTCTAGGCCTGTGTGACTTTGCTGATACAGTTTTGTCCTGTGTAAAGCAGATAATACTGTACAAACATTTATTTAAACTAATTGAGAAGCTGTTCTGTGTAGGTCACTAAAAGAAAATAAACTTGAAATAAAGACTTGTAATTTATTTTCTGTCCTACACTATATATTTTTCTAAATGTTAGGTGTTATTCTAACAAGGTGTTTGAGTGTCACCTTGCAAAATGTGGGATCAGAGTAAATAATTGCAACTCCAGTTTCTGGTGCTGCAGAACAGCTCTGAGAACGAGACAACTGATCGCTATGATGATCTCCTTTTGGACTTTAAACAGGAATTAGAGAACAAAAGGAGAAGTAAAAGGATAAAGATCTAACATGTCTCTGCTTGTTTCTTTTCTTTTTAGTGCATTCCACAACAGAAAAATGACAGTGACTGTGGGGTTTTTGTGCTCCAGGTAAGAGTACTGCTTTTTACAATCAGTGGCCTGTATTGTTCATATAGTAAATGTTCTTTATTTCAACCAAGCCTTTTCCTTTTCCCCAGTACTGCAAGTGCCTCGCCTTAGACCAGCCTTTTCAGTTCTCCCAGGAAGATATGCCCCGAGTGAGAAAAAGGATTTACAAGGAGCTGTGTGAACGCCAGCTAATAGACTAATAAAATGCAGCCAACCTAATTTCTCTGGCATTTCTGACAAGTTGCAGCTGGTGTTTGTGTACTTGAATTTCTGAAAACTTCCAAGAATTTTGAGTGATTCTCAGCTGAGTGGTGTGGCCACTGTCGTTACCTCAATTTTTTGACAAGTTCTTTAACTAGCAGAACATAACAGAGCTGCCGTAGAATATTCCTAATGTCAGTTTGGTTCTCTTATGTTCTTTCCTGTATTTAATATTTATTATCTCAGCATGCATATAGGCAAAGCATGCAACTAAAACCATAAAACTGTAGATTTGGTGCACCTTTGAGATGTAGCTAGAAATGACAAATACAGGTGAATTTGTCTGGAAACATAAAGATGCATGGTATGTTTTCTGATGCAATAATGCTTTGAATGTATCAAAAAAAATCAATGCCATAAAAAGAACAGCTAGAACCTATTTGATAGTTACATTGTCCCTGTTGTGGCTGTACAATACTGAATACCACTTTTTAGGGTGGCTAAACTCATCTACAGTTCTAATTTGTGAAGACCCCTTTTTAAAATAGTTCAAATTGGTAATAAAGTTTGTTCTGTTAACATTTATCTGGCTACCATTATCAGCCTGTCCCTATAGATAAAAAGCAGCCTTTGCACAAATAAAGCTTCAGCACTTGTCTGTATAATAGGAACTACAGCAGTGTTCAGTTGGTCAGATTGATTTACGTTCCTAGATGCTGCAGAAGTCTCCATGATGTGTGTATTAAGGAGAATTACAAAGCTGGCCCTGAAGAGTCACAGCTTAGATAGTAAGATAAACTCCTTGGCTGTAACTGTTTACATCTCAGATGGTTTTGAGTCATTTCTCAGATCCACAATATGCAGTGAAATGTACCATTTTGGCATTTCTTCCTTCAGCTCTGTCTTCAAAGCTTGTTGTCTTTAACCTCCCGTTGGCTTTTGCTTTTGTTCAAATATAAATTAATTCATTTCTGCTGCATCTCCTGTTTGATTGTCCCTGATTTGTTTGCGTTCAGTAGCACCGATGGGTCTGGTTGGTAATAACCGCGTTTGTGGTGGGTGCTGCACAGACACAACGAGGTTGTGTCACTCTGCTCCGGAGGGGTGGGAGGCTGCAAGTCCGGCACTGAGCTTTGTGGTGTTATTGCACTGGGCAGGGATGGGTGAGAGCAGGGGATCTGTTGGTTTTTCACCTTGGTCTGTAAACTGTGATGTGCTCCTTGCTGAAGAGAGCTACTTCTGTTTGAAGAGACTTGTCTGGCGCTGCTACACCAGCAAATGTCTTTGCTGTGTTTTTCTGCCAGATAAAGAAGTGAGCCCAGAGAAAAACTATTTTCATTGCTAAACATCATCTGTTGCACAGCTTCACTTTGTGTCTGTCCATAGTCCTGGCTTCCACTGGAGGAAAACCACTTTGACTTCCTTGTCTTGCAAATTAATTCAGACTTGAGCTAAGCCAGGTGCAAATCCCTCCTAAAGGACTGGAGGGAGCAGGGGGAAGTGAGGGAGTGCCAAGCACAGTCAGGCTGGGAAGTGGAAGCGTATGTGCACTGTGCTGTGCTAGAGGAGTTCCTGCAGTATCCTTGCGTGTTCCCACTTCCCCTTGTTGGCAGCTGGCAAGGACTGGCTTAATTTAGCAAGATAAGGAAAGCTTTAAGCACTTGGTTAGATAATTTAAACAAGGAATTTATTGAATCAGAAAGAACCTTAAGACCCAGACAGGCTAAACATACATTTGCCCATCAAGTAGTGCAGAGCACCGCACAGCACATGGTTTATTTGTGTTTCCCTGAGATGTTACTGGTAAGAACAGCAGCACCTTTTTTGGGCAAGTGATTGCAAGCAATGGAGGGTGACTTCCATGAAAATTGTGATTTGGGATGTAGTTTCTCATATGGGATTAGCACATGTGAGCCAGTGCTGCCATTCTTGTCTTCTCTCTGCTCTGGTATCACGTGAACAGCTCCAATGCTTATTCTGCCACGTGGTGGGACAGCTGATCCAGGCTACAACTAGCCCAGAGGACAGAGAAGTTCTCACCTCGATGCAGCTTGTCACTGTATGTATATACCAGTATGAATGAATACTCAGGTGGCCAGGAAGAGACATGAAGGTGGTGCCAACTTTGGGTGCATGCAAGGCAGGCTTTACTCTCAAGCAAGACTCCTGGCAGAAAGGGAGTGGAATACAGAAAGAGAACTGCATAAGCAAGTTGCTTTTATTTTCAGAATTTAAGCTATTTGGTAAGGAAGCTTGAAAGGTGTCCCGTTACACCGTATCAGCCTGGGAGACTCGGTGCCTCTGAGAAAGACCCTTATGTTTTTTGTGAAAGTTGCCTCGTTGATGGATGTTTTTCATTGCATGGGAATGTGCTGAAGCACTGGACTACAGGCAGTTGTTCCCTAAAGCTTGGTGCCTGCTGCTGGTTGGTAGGTATCTATCTTCCTCTTATAGGAGAGGTAGTGAGGAGTCTTTAATCTCGATCCTTTATCAGCAGCATCTGCGAAAGCACAGTATTCCTGTGAACTGCGTGTTTAACGTGGGTGCTTTGAAGCACGTGCATATGTGTCCCAGATCATTTGAGGGGAGGGGGATTGCATTTGAATGTGCTGCCTTGTGAACTGGGGAACAGGGTGGGGAAACATGCATGTTGGAAAGTACTTCTTATGTGCTTTCTTGTCATCTAGAGGTTTCCTGACAAGTGTTCCAGTTGGTTATGGGGCAGCACAGAGGAGTTGCACTTGAATCTCCAGCTGTGAACACACCAGTGAGGGGCCTCTGAAAAAAAAGGAGGGGAAATTGAAAACAGAGCTAATGTAAGCAAAGTATGTTGGTGCAGGGTTGAAATTAATCACAGACAGTCGGAATCTCAGGCTCTGTAATGGTGTATCCTGTGAAACTGGACTAATTAACTCCTCCTTGAGAATGTCTTTGATGCCTTAAAGGAGATGGACTCCATAATCTGTAGTCATTTTACTAGTTCTTAAAACATTCAGAACTATGTAGAGTGTTTTTATTATGAGAGGCACATTTATGTGGATGTAGTTATGGCTGTTAGCAATTCCATTAATGTGATCTTCAGATTTTCATAAATCACTCTGAACTGGTTTGGTGGATGCTTAAATTTCACGACTTGTTCCAAAGAGATTGTCTCGCTGTGCTGATTTATACAAACAGTCCCAGAACTGGTGAAGCCTCTGTCTCGTGTGTGACAAATTTAAGCTACCTGAGTTGTAATAAACCTTAAACAGAATTGAAAATGAATTATCAGTTTCCATTTCATTTACTTTAATCTATAGTCTTAAATGACTGTGTCCCTGATACAAATCAATAAATGCAGAATGTGGCCTTGATTCTGCAAGGTGAGTAGAGAGATGCCTATTGCTGAGCTGGTGGGTACTTGCAGAATGGAGGCTGGCCCTTTGTGCTATCTACTTTGCAGTTGCTCTGTTCTTACCTGGCTCTCTTGAGTGTGAAGGTGATATTTTGAATGTTTCACATGCACTGATTACCAAGCCAGACAGTCTTGCGCACAGTTGCTGCCTTGTGTTGTATCTCCAGTGTAATGCTTAACCTACCTTTGCTTTCTGAGAGTTTTGATTGGCATTATCTACTGTAGCATTTACTCAATTCATCGTGAAAATTTGAACCTCAGGAAGTGGAGTCAACTCCACTGAGCAGCAACTGTGCGTCGTGGGTGTGCTCTTGCGTTGAATGAAGTCCATGTTCCTGTGAAGTAATAAAATTGAGTTTTACCATAAACCCTATTTTCTTTCAGTGGTTTGGTTTCAGTTTAATTTTAAAAGCAACTGATGTGATGGTTGAGGGAATGTTTGTAGCAGCTTGTTTTGGGATCTGTGTTATTAGGAGAAGCCTCTCCAGTTGATTAGTTCAATAGCTCTGAACTGCACGCTAATGATGCTCTCTGTCTTGCAGTGATATAACTTACTGGGGTTTGACTTCTGACAACATACAAGTTTGGAGATGTCACCCATTACATAAATAAGGGTGAAAATCTTCCATTAGACACTTTATACTAAGGTGGCATTTAAAAAACACAAATCTGTCAACAGAACACGTAGGACTTAAATTGCTTTTCTGGATCAAACTATATTAGTGCCCTTCTTGTATTACTTGTGGATTTAGCCGTGTAACTATAGAGTTAAATCTTGTCTTTGCCACGTTTTTCAAAACTATACAGCTTGTGAATTTGTGATAATCGTGAGAATGAAGGCTTAGCAAATGTCTCTTTAAGCTATTAATCATGAGACTGGCAACATCATTGTCTTTATTACATTCATAATTTAAAAATCCTATCATGGAGGAGGATACATGGATGCTTGTTAAATATATTCTTCAGTGGAAAGTACTAAGAAATCAGATCATTAAAGCACAGAATCATAAGAGACACTAGAGCCTTGCCAGGAACAATAATTACTATTTATATGTAATAGGCACTGGGAGGGAAGGAGATGAGTCTGATTTGCTTGTGCCTGAACTTAATGGGTTTTATGAGTAACCAACTAGAAGGATTTGAGGATTGAATTTCATTTTGGAGCATATAATATTACAAACTATAGAGCTAAAAACTGTTGCAAACTGAGTGAAATATCTTGAGAAATCAACTGGTTTGTTTTCTCTCAACACAAGTAAGCAGAACATGTGCGAAGCAGCTCCAGCTCCTGCCTGAAATTCTGATGAGTTCTTAATTCTTGGGTTTGATTTCAGCATTGCTGGTAACTCACCTCCCCTAATGCGGCACTTTCTTGAGGTTCCAGACCTTACCTAATGCTAAGGTTACCTGGGGCAACTTTGGGAAGTGGCTGAGAGGAGGAGGGATCAAAAATCCATTGGGGAATCTGCTTGCACCACCTTGTGATAAATGTGTTGTGGGAGGAAGGGCAGGGGAGTAACTGAGCTTTAAATAAGATGTATTTAGCTGGATAATGTGGGTCAGGTCATGTTTATGGTACATGAGCTTGTTGCAGACAAGGAGCCATCTTGTTTAAGGAAACCTTTGGTCTGAGTAGGAGAGAAATGTA